CAAAATACATTACACCACACACACACACACACACACACACACACACACACACACACACTTATGTATACTAGTAATGTGTGCTCTCACCTGTGTTGTCTCTGCTTCTGACAGCCAGCCAGCTCTCAGGTGATTCTCCAGCTCCTGAGATGCTGCACTTGTAGAGTCCTTCATGAGACTTGTTAATATTGCGGATGATCAAAGTGCTGGTGGAGATGCTCTTGATGAAGATGCCATTTTTATAGAAGGATATGGAAGTGGAGGTTTTGGTGAAATCTGTGCTGTTTTTACAGCGCAGACTCACAGTGTTTCCCTCCACCGCAGGAATTAAAGGACTTTCCAGGATCACAGGACCAGCTGTTATAATTATAATATATGGTATAATTAGACGTTTATAGCTCAGCACAAATGAAAATCATGTGTTTGAAACCTGTTTCTCATAGGATTTGAGCACTTTCATGTGCAGTATATGTTATCATTTTTTTTTCTCTGTGACACCCCTGTTGAACTCTAATTTTCTTTCTTTTTTTCACTTGCACAGGCCAACACTTAGCAGATATATAATTATCAGAATATTTAGCTGATTTCTCAACAAGCCCTCAGTATGGTGGTGTACTTTAGCTCATAAAACACATTTTAATATGCAATTCACCACAGATTTCTTTACCAACATAAACATAAATGTCAGTGAACACAGATACAATAAACTTACGTGAAATGGTGATGTTTACAGGGCTGCTTTTCTTTCCATCTCCGCTCTCACACCAGTACTGTCCGCTGTCTTCGATATAAACATTTCTGAAGATGCAAATGGACCCACTGAAAACTCCCCAGCTAGTCCCACACGCTGTATCAACATCTGTTGCCTTCCTCATTAGTTTCCATCCAAGAGACACATCAAACTCCTTACAGTCAAAAGACACTGTGCTGTATTCATAGTGCTGAGAAGTGTTTGGAACAACATGAGGAAAAGCTGAATCTATTGACAAAGAGAAAGACAGGACCATTAAAATATGTCAAGTGACAATTAACAAATCAAACATAGAACCCTGACTGACATTAATCAGAAAGTTACTAAATTGTGCAAAGGAATCAAATTAACTTTCACGTACTTGTTTGAGCATCACAACTATCCCAAATTTGTATCACCAGCAGCAGCCAGGTATTTATCACTGAAGAAGCAAATAACATGTGAAAATTTAAAAGATAAGTGAATAAAAGACACATTTAAATAAAATATAACTCAACTTGACCCACAGGTGATCTTATGGCTTTGTTAGACTTTGGAGGGAATTTTGCTGAATGCAAAATTAAAGGCTATGACAAAATAATGTGAATTATATACTATAGTCTTGATGGTAATATGTTGTCAGTG